AACCCTTAAACCCTTAAACCCCAACACCCCAAAACCCTAAATCCTAAACCCTAAACTTCAAGAAGCCGAAGCCGAAGCAACAAAAACAAAAAAGAAAACAACGCGACGCTTTCCTGTGCGATGTCGGGCCGGTGCGCCGGGCAACAGTGATGGCAGACCGGAGCCGAAGTCCCAGGCTTGATCGAATCTAGGTTGGCCGTATTTGGCCGTTCTAAAAGGGTTTATAGGGGTTTTGGGGTTTAGGGGTTTGGGGTTTTGGGGTTTAGGGTAAAGGGTTCGAATCAAGGAAACATAGGGGCCTAAATAATTGCCAGTACCATGTTGGTATGTTGGTATTCTACTTATTGAATCGAGGTAGGCCTTGTTGGGACATGTTATGAGGGTTTGTGTTTTTTTGGGGTTTAGGGTTTAGGGGTTCAGGGTTTAGAGTTTAGGGTTGAGTTTTGCAGTTTTCCCTTCTTGGGTCTAAGGGGGATCTTCTTTTCGATGATTTTTTCAAGGGCCTCAGAGAGAGTTCCAACCCAGGACATGATCGCATTCCGGAAGAGTGTGGCCACGACGAGGATTGGGCTTCGCTGGAGGAAGTGGAGCGCTTCAAGTGCCCGATTCTGGGTTCTTGTTAGAGGATTTCATTTAAGGTTACCATCATAGGGATCTATAGTAAATAATATGGTTTTCTTATTGTGGCAACTTAAATTAAATCCCTAAACCCTAGACTCAGGATTTGCTACTTGGTGGCCAGGAATGCAGTGTCTCATGACTGTGGGGCATCCCTGTTCTGCGAAAGCTGCTGGAACGGCTGGATGACCCGCGATAACAGATGCCCGAGCTGCAGAAAAGATGCTTCAAGTTTTGCGCCGGCACACTTTGAGCGGCGCACCATCAAGAACCTGATGTTGAATTGCCCAAACGGCTGTGGGATGTCGGTTTCCTTGGCCGACAAACCGTCCCACGTCAGCGACCAGTGCCCCAACCGCCTCGTCCGTTGCAAAAAGTGCGATGGCAGCTTTCCAGCATGCGAGCTCGCGGCGCACAAGGCCCGATGTTTCAAGAAACCCTAAATCCTGAAGCCCTAAACCCTAAGCCTCAACCCCAAAGCCTAAGCCTAAAGTGCTAAACTCAACACCTTCAAGCCCTAAACTCTAAACCTCGTTTCTACATTTCGCCTGAGGAGCGTTGCAGGGGCCGCCCGGAGCCTTGCATCGTTTGTGGCGAGATGGTCGCCGCCGCCGACATGAAGCGGCATTGCAACCAGGTGGCACTTTGGGTTTAGAGGCTTTAGGGTTTAGGGTTTAGGGTTTGGGGTTTAGGGTTTAGGGCCTTTTAAATTCCCTTTAAGGTTCCTACTGTTCTAGAGGGTACCTATTCTTCTAGATACTTTTACGCGCCCCAAAGCGACAACCCAGGCAAGAAGACCAAAGGCCACTCGGCTTCCGTGGTGAGCCGTGCTTTTTAGCTGTTCATTCCGACTTAATGCAACGCCATACATGCTTAGGGTTTAGGGTTTAGGGTTTAGGGTTGAGGATGCAATTTAAGATCTCGCATCGCGCATCTGGCCGCGTTTTTGTTCGTGGCTCATGGTTTGCAGCACTACCACGCCCCTTTGTGCGTGTATGAGCCTAAGCCCTAAACCCTAAGCCTTAAACCCCAAGCTTAAGCCCTAACCCCCAAGCCCCAAGCCCTAAACCCTAACCAGCAGCCCCAAGCCCTAAACCCTAAGCCCCAATCGAATGCTACAGCCGCCTGAAGCTGATGTGAGAGCTCTCGACTGAGGACACCTCTCGGCTTTGCTTAAGAAGGCCAAGAAGCTAAGATCCTCGCTTGCAAAAACTAGGGCCTTAAATAGGGCCTATATACTCTACGGGATCTAATTGTAAGGGATCTATATGGGTTTAGGGTTTTGGGGGGTTAGAGAGTGAATTTGGAAGTAGTACTTCTGCGGCCAACATCTGCTTCCATTGGATTTTGGTCTGCATTCGGGCTGTCATCGCAGCCAGTTATTTCGGGCAGTCGGCGTTGTTGGTTGAATAGCGGCACCCCATCTGGTGTTCGACAGCTCCTTCTAAACCCAAAATCCCTAACCCCTAAACCCTAACCCCTATCCCCTAAACCCTAAACCCGAAAACCCCTGGCCCCTGAACCCTAAACCCGAAAACGCCTAACCCCTGAACCCTAAACCCGAAGACCCTAAACCCCACGAGCTGGGCGGCTCAAGCCCGTGCTCTGGCGTAATCGAAACAGAGCCTGGATCCCCCTTATAGTGCCCTTATGGTTTAGGGTTGAAAGTTGTAAGGTTTAGGGTTTAGGGTTTAGGAACCCTCGAAAAGGAAGCCCCTAAACCCCTGCAGACCCCCCACCCCATAAGACCCTTCGAGTACCCTTACAGTACCATTAATTTGGCACCTTTAAAGTTACACCCCTTCTGGTACTCTTTCCAGGAACCCAAAAGTAGAGTCTGAGGTCTAGGACATTTTCAGATGGGTAGTTACCGTTTTGGGAGCCTCATTAGAAGGTCTATATACCCTACAGAAGCGTTGTGGAAGCCCTATATACCCTAAACTCCCCTAAACCCTAAACCCTAAACTCTAAACCTGTAGTTTCCTTTACCCTAAACCCTAAGCTCTAAACCCTCAACCCTAAACCCAAAAAAACCCTAGGGCCGGAGGTCAAGAAGTGGGGAAACCCGAAATCCTAAACCCGAAGCCTTAAACCCTAACCCCTGAACCCTAAACCCGAAAGCCCCTAACCCTTGAACCCCCAAACCCTAAACCCTAAACTCTAGATCCGGAGGTCAAGAAG